GATAGATAGATAGATAGATAGATAGATAGATAGATAGATAGATAGATAGATAGATAGATATACTAAAATAAACTACTACTTACAACTTGTTCTACTATTCCTACTTCACAGTTTTCCACTTATCGTGGGTTTTCAGGGTATGGTTCCCCTGCGATAAACGAGGGACTACTGTACTGGTCATCTTGTGGTTTTATAAGTGTTATGTTACAAATTAAACTGCTTAATTGTAATGTAACTCATAATTATTATAATTCATATAAAAGCACATTAAGGAACTTATTGCCCCCACATGTAAAAGCTACACCTGAACTTAAAAAGTTTGTTCAAATGACTAAATTTTGGCTAAAGGAAAATCGAAGATGTGATCATTTTTAATATGCAGATCTAATGGATGAGAAAGTCTTTGTGGGGATGTATGTATTAGTGAGTTTGTAATGTATTTACAATTTTTTGTATGTTAGCTGAATGTGTGAGGATGGGGAGGTATTAATATCTTTGCACATCCTCATTATCAATTTGGAGGTTGCAAGGTTGTTAGTGAATATACAGGGAGGAAAACGTTTTGTATTTTTATTGTATCGAAATTTTTTAATTGTTCGTATTTTAACGTATAGTTTTTATTACCATATATGAATTAGGAGATTGTAAGGTGTATTACATGAAAATGTAGGCAGAAATACGCATGTATTCTTACTGTATTTTGATTGATAAATTGTGTATTTTAATGCGTAGTAATGCACAACCAGGGACTGGAGTTGTGAATTAGCTATAAACTCTTTGTGCAACACATCAGTCACAGACTTGTTCTATTCTATGTTTGTGTGCATGGTCCCTGTCAAATAAACTAATAATAATAATAATAATAATAGTAATAATAATAATAATTTGACCAGTGTTTTAGAACAAACTCTTAATTGTTAGGTCTTTTTTGCAGAGAAAGTGTAATAAAAAATGAATGTGCAACAGAAAATATAATGGAATTATTCAAAATGTCTGCCTTCAAATACAGATTTATTGATTGTGTTACAATCCCTTTTACATTTGGACCTTCAAAATGCAATGGAGGAGGGCAAGTTAATATTTTGCCAAAGTCACAATAATTTCTATTAATTATTTGCAGAGTTTGGCCTGAAACTTCCACAGTGAACTCTAAAGCCGAATATGTAACTTCACCTTTTACCAACCAGTAAGTCCTGCATGCAGACAGTTTTATGTCTGACTTTTTACTGAAATGCACTTCACTTTCAATCTTTTCTTTATTTGAAAAGTTAGCTTTTAATTTGTGTGTTTATGAAATAATTATTGGCGTGTCACGTGTTGCAGAAATACAACCCTTCCTGCTTCTCACTTCTGTTTTCCTCTGCCTTTAGTTCCTGTTAATCAATTAGTAGGGCAGCCTCAGTATTAATGATGTGCCTCAATCAATCATCAACTATCAGCCTGGGGTAATCAGATTGTGCCTCTTCAGCTTGAACATGTTTTATTAATCTGTTCTATTGTAGAAAACTGTCAAAAATGACCCTGAATGTTCATGTAAAACATCTGCAGCCCCACACAGCTGTAAACAATAAACAGCTTATGTAACACAGTGGATATGATCAGGAGGATAAATTAGGTACAGAAATGAATACATTACCTGACAGGAGAGGATTTTACTTAATGGTCTGAGTTCACAAAAAGGGAGAGAAATTGGGAAAATGTACTAAATAAACAGCTCTTTAGAAATGAATACTAAAAGGATGCTAGATTATGGAGCTAACGAGCCAAAAAGTGAGCTATAATTATAGTTCTAAATGTACAGACTGCAAGGCTAAAGGATGAGGCTGCACAACAACAAACAACATTGTATGAGATCGAATTAACCATCAAAGAAAATTGAAGAAATAAAAGTTGGAACATGGAGAACCTTGAGTTAGATGGAAAAAAGCGCTGAATAGAACCAAAGGATGAAGGAAGTCCTGGGCCAGCGATGGAGACAGAAAATAAACTCTAAAAAAATGACAAAATGACAAAAAGAGTGAGAGAAAATAAGATCGATCAAGAAACTAATCAAGAGAAGATGGTGGTGATGCACAGGTGAGGTGAACAGAGGAAAGTAAAGTTTGAAAAGAGAAGCTGAAATGACTCCTTTAGATCATGTTAACAGACAGGACTCCACATGGGGGCGGAGCTAAAGTTACTGAAATGTGCCAAACTGGATCTCCGTCACAAATGAAACATCCACGAAGAACATGGACAGTTTATAAAGAAAAAAAAAAAAAGTTTTACCAACTGGTCTCCGGGTGAAACGGGCACCAGGTCAACAGTCTCCAGCTGAGCCGTGTGGGTTAGAAGAGTTTCAGGGCTGGATTTCAGGATCTCATCACAAACCTCCACCAACAGACGGCACTAGAAAAACCAAACAACCCAACTTATCAAGAGAAGATCGGTTTTCATTGTGTGTAGCACAGAACTAAATCTGTCACGTTCAAGAGAAAACTCAAAGAAGAAGAAAACTCACGACAGAGATTATGTCCTTTTCCTTTTCATAGACAGTGGTCTCCTGTTGGAGGAATAAAACAGCATGGTATAAGCAGAGGACACCACACCACCCTATATGCTATTGATTGGTGGAAATGGGACAAACTAAGTCAGAGCCCACGTCCTATTTCCTCCTCACAGCGTGAGACGGGATGCAAAAAGCCACAGAATTGTCGAGAACCATTGCTCCGCTGCCACATCCAGCTACTATCGAGCTTTGGTTAGTGACGGCCCACCCAGACAGTCTTCTTCTCAATTCAATTCAATTCAATTCAATTCAGTTTATTTATAGAGCATCAAGTCACAACAGACATCTCAGGGCACTGAAAAGAAATATTCATATATAAAAATAATAATTTAACATTATTTATCTGAGGAGCAGACTGCTTTGAATTCAACTCCATCACAGAACTCTCATCTTGAGCATGAAGGCGACAGTGGAAAGGAAAAACTCCCTCATGAAGAAGAAACCTTTAGCAGAACCAGGATCAGGACAAGAGGTCATCTGCTTCGACCGGCTGGGTTTGAGAGGAACAGATACACAATGGCAGGTCCAGAATCACACGTTAAGATAGAAATAGTATCAAATGAAAAATATTCCATTTTAACAATTAATTAATTATTAATTTAACAAGTTTAAAGACTGGGCTTAAGATTTCCTTTTTGATAAATCCTATAGTTAGGGTTAGCTTGTTATGCTGCTATAGGCTTAGACTACTGCAGGACAATTTGTCCTGCAGTAGTCTAAGCCTATAGCAGCATAACAAACCAACTCTAACTATAGGATTTATCAAAAAGGAAAGTCTTAATCCCAGTCTTTAAACTGGACAATGTGTCAGCCTCAAGAACAGAAACTGGAAGTTGGTTCCACAAGAGAGGAGCCTGATAACTGAAAGATCTGCCTCCCATTCTGCTTCTGGAAACTCTATGAAATGTGAGTAAACCTGCAGTCTGAGAGCGAAGTGCTCTGTTAGGAAAATATGGAACAATAAGATCTGTAATATAAGATGGAGCTAGGTTGTTGAGAGCTTTGTAGGTTAGAAGTAAGATTTTGAATTCAATTGTGGATTTGACAGGGAGCCAATGGAGAGAAACTAAAACTGGAGAGATATGATCTCTCCTACTAACTCCAGTTAAAACTCTGGCAGCCGCATTTTGGATTAACTGAAGACTTTTTAAAGAAGTATTTGCGTATTTAAGTAAGTATTTTCTTTCAGCAAAGTATGGGATCTCAAACATCTATTTACATTCAATTCACGAAGCTCCTTTCTTTACACTAAAGGTAAGAAGCTGTGCTATTGTGCAGCATTTTTACTGCTTTTTAAAAATTGTGTTCCCAAAAACAATTTAGACTTCATTGGATTTGTGCACAAAACAGTTTTATAAATGTTCTGTAAACCTGAACTGCACAGAAAGCTTCTGGTGTTTCTTCTCATGGTATGATTGGGTGTAAATCATGAGCAGAACTGTTTAACCAAAGATTAAATGAAGCGTTCGTTATCATTGCTGGATAAATGCCAATACCTTTGATCAATACTTCTAATTAAAGGTTCTTGACTGGCCTCCAGTTTAATTCCAGTTGGCTTTCATTGTTGCCCTCAGCTTTAAATGCAACTTCTTTTAACCAACTGCACAATGTGTAAACATTCTAGTACGTGATAAATCTTAGCTATGACTTGTGGTTAATAAGAAACGTTCAAATTTGCAACTCGGATGAAAATTAATTCAACGCAAATCGACAAAATCTTTTCAACAAAACGACAGGGTCCTGGAGAGCCCTCATGTCCCGCTGAGACTCACGCTGCAGGATACGTCATGGATTCGTAGGAGGTGTGGGAGCTGAAGTGTCTTTCAGTTCTGCCTCAGGAGGACGCTGAAGATGTTTATATAATTGGATTCATGACAGCAGGGTTTCTGCTTTTTGGCATCGGCGCATTTCTGTGTCATCAGCTTTTAAGGAAGACTTGGGCAGCAGTTTTGGCCATGACAAAACTGCCCAGTCTGTGTGAAAGTCTGGTTCGTGCTACGAGTACTCAAAATCAGCTGATGTACGAGCTAAACTGTAAGATGGAAGCAATTTGTGAGAATCGCAGGCCACCTGTGTCTTCTAGGACTCGCCAGCATGTTGGAAACCATATTGAATGAGGCTCATAGCACAGATCTGTGGAATGCCTACAAATCTGGCCATTTTGCATCTGGAAAGTTCCAGCAGGACTCAAGGCTGACAAGAAAAAACTGATGGCCTGAAGAAAATCAACAATTGCGGCTTATCTAAATCTGACTCCCCCGTTTGGCCTCGGAAACAGGCCGACTATTACATTTCTCCTGGAACATAGGTAAACTAATGAAAAAGCTTAGTCTATCACAACCGCCCACCCCGAGAACTTTTGTGCAGGCTTATCAGAACTGCCAGCTGACCAACATCTTATCAGGACTATGGTGCCATCTGGAAGTGCTTCATGGACAAATCTCAAATGTGCTTGCTGGTAGAATTTTTTGACGTCTTAAATCGTGTCCTGATAGGACAAGGTGTGATGAGATCTTTTTGTAATACCACTATCCATCCTCATGGCCTTTTACCTTTTTCTATCTATAAAGGTATTCTGATAAGGAATAAGAGGCCGCGCTCTTGTAGCAGCAACAACATGCACTCCGTCCATCTTTCAGACAACTGTATGAAAATAATCTCACTGTATCTCGGTACAATGATAATAAAGCTTATTCTGATTCGTTCAATCTATGACCAATTCATAAAGGAATGCTAAATTTGTTACATTTATACTGCACATATTAAAATTGTGCTATAATGTTAGCTGAGAGCAAGAAAACCACACACTCTGGCTCTTTTTGTGCAGCACAGCTTGCACTTGTACAGATAGCTGTACCCAGGAGGCTGCAGCACAAAATGATACAGATATTAGAATCATTACAAGAAAACTAAATTACTTTCTTGTCTCTTGGGACTGTGAGGCAAGTGTTGCTATTTCTCCTACAGGCTTTGCAGAGATGAGCAGATGAGAGGATGAAGAGGCTTTACAAGAGAAATGATGAGAAATTCAAAAAGAGCAGGACGGTGTTTATACAGTATAATAAACTACTTGATATTATTGTCCAAAGCTAATACGCAATGCCTTATACGAGTGGTTTGGAGAACTGGATGGAGAAGATAATCTACTTTAAGTGAAACAAAGGATCAGCAGTAAACATGAAGAATGAGCTGAACTCAAAAGGGCCAGAACACAAGATGGTGCAAAGTGATTTCTGCCATGTTCAACTTGTTTTTATGTTTCTGTTGTTTGAGAATGCTGATTATGATCATTTAAAAAAAAAAAAGTCATGCACTGATTTCCACCAAAACAAACTATAGGAGATTTTTGAATATGTGTTAGGTGAGGTCGTCAGAACGTTCAACTTGAGCCAAAAACAGTAGTCCTGCAATGTCACGTTAGCTGCAGGCAAAATATGATCCGAGGGCCAGAAGCGGATCTTAAGACAACCACCAACCAGCCACTGGTGTGCACAAATAAAAACAAAACCACCAACCAAGGAAATAAATGAACACCAGGATTTTTTAATAACTATAGAGGTAAACAAACGCCAAAGAAACATTTTGTGTCTAAGTGTAAACTTCCTGACCAATAAAGAGTATTTTTTTAATGAGTGGTTCTACTTGTCGAACCAGATTGAGGATAAAAGCTTTTTAAAAAATGCCTCAGAATGACACATCTTCTCATGCCAAGGAGACACACAACACAAAGTTTAACAAAAAGACAAAAAAAAACACAAAAGATAACCTTTTATTACATTAAATGCAAATGTCTAGCAGATTGTTGTTGTTTGTTTCAGTTCAATTTGAGGCCTTTTGATTGGTTCAGCTAAGTCAATATTCAGGTCTCTCTTGTAAATGAGTCCCCGAGGCTCAATGGGATTAACCCGTCTAAATAAAGGTTGAATGAATGTGGATCTCTGGTAGCAAAATGTTTTCTGACATTGACATTTGTAGTTCTTGCATAACTAATGCTAGAACTGCACCATATGCTTTTAATTCCATATTATTTATTTTTTTCTTTAATTACTGCCATTGATTTTATTGTTCCATTGATTTTATTTTTTTAGAAACGTCTTCTGTTACAAATAAAGTCCAGTTGTTTTTGTACTGAACGTTTTTTGAATTGATTTTATTGTTAAGCACTTCAGTAACAGCAGCTGTTTTTAAATGCGCTTTATAAATAATTTTGACTTGACTACTGCAAAATTAGCTAGCTAGTTATTCTGACCTCAGTTGTAGTTGAGGGACATCTAAAAATTGAACACTAAACAACAAGAGTTAAAAATGATACCGGTATATTAGCCCTTGAAGCTTTTGGGGGTGAAACCATAAATATCCTGAATGCAAACAAACATTGTGGGATACAGATTAAAGTTAATTTTTGTTCGTGGTTTAGATAGTTACAAGAAAAAATAGGGAGAAAGTTCGTCAACAAAAGCAAGGAGCTCAGGTTCAGGCTATGGCTAACGTGCTAATTAGCACATGGTAGCCTGCTAGTTAGCCTACGCTAATTAGCATCAAACATGCGGCATGCTAATGCTGAATGTTTATGTTTAAGTGTTAATGTTTATTGTTGTGTGCACATTATCTGTGGTTTTGTCTAAAACAGGTCGCGTCCTCGTGACTCAATGACACTAACCTGTACAAATAAAGATTGAATGAATGAAGTTGTTGAACTTGGTGTTTGATTTCAAGCAGAGTACGGGATTCAATGGAGCTGACAGTTTTATGTTGTTTCCGTGATTTATTGTAGGTTTAATGTTTTTTAATATATTTTATTGCTTTTATTGTCGGTGTTACCTTTTAGTTTAAGAGAGTTGTAAAGCACTTTGGTCATGTTCTGTTGTTTTTAATGCGTTATTGAAATTAACTGGCATTTCTGGGTAATATGGTAATTTTGGGGTAAAAGTGAACTGTTCACAAAGGTTATCCCAATAAATGAAGTATAATCTCTACAGTATTTTTTGCCACAG